TATTTGATCGACTCAGAGGTACAGCGAAAAAGGTAGTATATGATCTTTTAATAGCACAGAGATCCCGTACAATTTTTATATGCATGTAAATGTCCAGCAGACATTCCTATCTTCACTATTTGAATTTTTATGCCACTAAGCATATTCTGATGTTTTTGTCCTGTATTCCCATGTGAACATACAGTTCAGTAAGCTTGGCTGCTCCGCTCCCTCTCCACACACAGAGGCTTTCTCTCTGCTCATGTGGAGCCCTGGAGTTTCAAGAAACAGTGACAGGAAGACACAACAGACTCAGCAGCAGCAGCTTTATGAACTTTAAATGTTTACATTCAATGGATACCCTGTCTTATTGCATAGTGAAATTTACCTGTCAAGAAATACACAACTTCTGCCAATTTGAACCAAAGGGAACCTTCTGCGGACTTTTACAAAGACAAATTAATAATCGAACTAATATTCCAAATCAACTCAAAGTAAATGAACTTGTTCACAGAGATAAATGTGTCAGATTAAATGTTTGCATTTATGTTTATACTTCTGTAATACAAATTATGCATAGTATGTATTACTAAGTTCTCTGTCATTCTCTTCTATTAAGCTTTGGACTGGTCCTTTGAGAACTCATTATCTACACTGAGTTTCCCAGGGACTTGATATGACTCTACTAGAATTGCTACTGTCTTGTACTTTCCCAGAAAGATTGTGATACTTTTCCCAAGAACGTACAGTTTGACTCTTGACTATTTAATCGTCTAATATCAGTGAGCATTTTTCCCACCAGGGCCAAATAGTGAAACTGAGTTATCAGCAGTATTATTGGTTTATTCAAAGACAGAGCCATTAAACAAGCCCATTCCCCTGGAGGGAATTGCTGGAAGTATTTCAGTGTTGTTCTTCTTTGCTCTGACAATTCCACTTCAACTTACTTTTCTGTTTTCAAAGTAGGTTTTGGTTTTGGTTTGTTTTTTAACTTCCTTGGGATGGCAACTTCACCCAGCGCTGGCACTTATGTGGGAAGACAAAAAGCAGTCCACAGCTCAGTCAGAACATCCTGTTCAGTGACAAATATCCTGGTTAGAGGCTCACAGTGACAGAGCTTGTGCACCTCCATCCCCATCACCCCCTGTCCCACCACCATCATCACTCCCCCGTCCCACCACTGTTCCCATTACCCTCTGTCCCACTACCATCCCCATCACCCACATCCCACCATTGTCCCCATCACCCACTGTCCCACCACCATCCCCATCACCCCCATCCCACCATTGTCCTCATCACCCAACGTCCCACCACCATCCTCATCACACCCTGTCTCACCACCGTCCCCATCACACTCTGTCCCACCACTGTCAAAAACCCCCCCACTGTCACCCCCGCCCCCCCGCCCCACCACTGTCCCCATCCCCTCCCATCCCACCACCATCCCCATCACCCCCACCACTCTCCCCACCAAGGCGAAGCCACAACACCCCTCTCAGGCCAGCAGCGCTACCAGCTGCGCCGGGATGCCGGTGGCTGCTCTCCCTGCGCCCAGTGTGCCGCAGCCGGGCGACACAGGGAGCGGCAGGGGTCCGGTTTGGGTGGGGACGGGGCCTGGCGGTGAGGGAGCTGCCCCGCAAAAGTGACAGCGCCTGGGAGAAAGCGGCTCAGCGGCCCCTCCTGGCAGCAGCAGGCTGGCTTTCTCTTGGCCCGCTGTGGGGCACCTTCCTGCCACGGGGTTTCTGCCTTTCGGTCGAGCTGCAGAAATACCTGCTGAAAAAGAGAATGCATTAATTTTTATTTAATATTTCTATTAAATAGAACAGCTAATTATTAGACAAGAAGCCTTTTCAAAGTGTGCTCACTCTTCAACAAAAGAGTGTGTGATATAGTATTTTGGGTGAGTTTAGGGTAAGTGTTTTTTATAAAGAATAGAAGAACTTCTTTGTAAAAATGCCTTCTCAAATGAATGCATTTTATCAGAACCTGAAGAATTTTACAGTGTTTGAATTTGTGATGTTGATTTAGGATCATTCTTAAGTTTAGCAAAGATTTTTTTCTTTTGCCTTTTAATTATCTTTCACAAGCTCAAACCTCTTTTAGGAAGACCTTTCCGTGTGCAAGGTGGAACTGCAATAAAGAGTCAGCACTCATTTTGCTGAGACATGTCAAGTAAGGAAATTAATTCCCCAGGGTAAGCTCTCCATTCATTGACTGACAGAGGTTAAAGGAAGGCACAAACACCAAATGGCAGGCCACTATTTATAAATCTTATATAAACATACTCTCAGCATAAATTATGTCTTGTGTGTGGGTACTAGGCTCTCACCTGTTCCATGGCTGTGAAATAGCAAAATCTGGCAGTTGAAGTAGGGACTGTGATAAATAGCAGGGGTGGGGAGACTACTGTCTGGTCCTGTGGCCACCTGAGCCAGCACGGCTCATATCCGCACACCTAAATTCGCTTCTTTCTCAAATTAGAGTAGCCAAATTTGAGCCAGAAACTCAGAGAATGTGCTAACAAGGATGAAAGCAGCACGCACAGTCATGTTTTGACTATATTTTATAATCTAGTACAGGCTTACCTCGTATCAGCCCTTTGAGTAAAGTGTACTAGATAACTCACTTCAGAAGACTGATTTCTGACCATCTGGCTGTACCAAATCCACTTCTAGTCTCCCCC